CAACCAACATCACAATGCAACTAGCCCTAGACAATGCAAGGGTTGACTTTGCGATCAAAGTGGGGTCTTGTCCAACGTAATGAAACATGAGAGGAAGAACATGGCAAATCAGTCCCAACAACAAAAGGAGCGAGTTCACATCCGCTTGTTTCTGTTCAAATTTAACATTGATTGGTATTCATCAAAACGAATGAGAACAAATTAGTGAGAAAATTAAATATATATATATATATATATATTAACAAAAGTATTTGAATAGGGCTATGTATCATGACTCGGATAGTCAAAGTAAATTAATCAATTGCGGTTACAATTTACAACATATTTTGAGAATCCAAAAATTGCCTTAATTATGGTCATCCTCTTTCCTTAAAGATATACTTTAAAGATATTTTCATTTATTAATTTCTTAATTGGGCATTATCCCAATTGCGTAAAATATATATATATATATATATATATATATATATATATATATATATATATATATATATATATATATATATATATTAAAATAATTGAAATGTAGCTTACCCTTTCGAATCTTTGCTCACTAGAAATGTTGACAATACCACCGCAAAGGAGAGATGTTCCAAGAACCAATAGGAGATTGGAGAGTATAGAGCCAATGAGAGAGTATTTAACCACATCTACTTTGTGTTTTGCCAAAGCAAATATTGCAATTATCAGTTCAGTTGCATTTCCACAAGTTGCATTTAGCAGTCCTCCCACTAACACATTATCAAAAACGTACAATTTATTCATTAAAACCTACCTAATTAACCATTCATAAACTATAAACTATATTAATTAATTAAATAGAATCACAATATATAGATAACGCAACATTATCTAATCTATCAAGCATCATATCGTCAAGCACGTTGTACTCAGATGAACATGTAGTGACTTTTCCTCTTGTACTTTAAGATGTTGAGAAAGTATAGATGGACAGATACTACAATGTAATAGAGTCAATATATTCAAAATATTAAGCATCATATCAATCCGAATGATTTAATTTGTAGGAATCAAATCAAATATACGTTTCCATTTATATATAGAAATTTAATTATGCTATAATAAATTGCAAAGTAAGTAACTAATTGAAAATAATAAATAAATAAAATACCTGTTGGTCCGGTATAGAAGGTTATTTGTCTGCAAGTTACACACGTTACTAGTAAGTAGTGGTTTAATATAATGCCTTAAATCCTATATTAATATCACAATATTAACGTAAAAATTTCGTATAATGGTAATTAATTATTTCCTTACTCGGTCAAAAAACTGATGCGTTCAGCCAGCGGAGTCAGTCCGATTAAGCTCAATCCAAAAATCCATGACTGTTTTTTCAATAATAAAAATAAAAATAAAAATGCATGTCTTCTTCCCCCAATGCAAAGAAAAATACATGTCTTATATAACACATGCAATTAAGTATGATTTATTATTTATTTTTAAATGCAAATAAGTTATTTAAAAAAAAAAAAAAAGCAGTATATGCTCTATACTTTTTCAATTTTTTTTCCGCTCAAAGAATCAATGTCTCACCACTGAATTTAAATCTGTAACCAAAATAATAACAGATGTGCCATTATATCACATAGTAAAACACTAGTATTATTATATCCAGAAAGTACGATTACGATCAATATGAATTACAAAGTTTAAAAAAAAAAAAAAAAAAAAGTGAAAGGATAAACTTACCCTATTGAAGTTAAGGTAATGGGCGATGATGGCCAATGGAACAGTAACGAACAAAATGCAAAGTTTGGTGCCGAGAAAAATTTGGTGCAGATTAGCCAGCACGTCTCTGACGATCCTATACCGCACGTTGGAGACGACCAGATCGGATTTTCGCCGGAGAGATGACGACGACACGTTGTGCGCCATCCGGGAATGGCCGCCGCCGCCGTGCCTCGACGCCGCCTTCGTATAGTTCCCGTTCTCCAAAAGACATGCCTGCACTTCTGACGCCATTTTTTTTCAAATGATACCAAAATCCCTCTGTGTAAATGTTTTTGTTATCAAAATGTCACTCTGTTCTGCCTACTATCAACCGTTACAAAATATATAATGTAGTCTAGTGTCACGTGTAATTGTGTTCCGTTCTAGGAAGTTTCATGGAAACTTCATAGATTCTAATCAATTAATATTAGTTATATTAAATATAAATTTATATTCCTTTCAAAAAAATATAAATTTATATAATTACGTCAAAAGTATAATATATTGAGTACTATGGAACTGTCATTATACACCAAAAACAAAATTAGCTTTTGTAATTTTATTTACATTTCGGTGGACTAAAGATATTGACTACTATGGAAGTGTTATTATTATAAACTAAAAGTGGAATTAAATCTTCTATTTTTGTATTTAAATTTCTGTGGACTAAAATGGTATGTCTTTAACAATTAACATATATGAGTATTGTATCACGCGTACAAATTAACTTGGACTTCAATTTGTCTAAAATTTTATGTACCATAAAAATAGGCAAATTATACCGTACACTAGGGTGCAGATTGAATTGTGTATCCTAAAAGTTTATGTGTATTATGTTAAGAGTTTATATGTATTCTACATTTCTACTATACAATTATGTACATACGAAACATGAGATTTTTAGGACGCACAATGCATTGTGCACCCTAGTGCACGATATAACAATTGATAAAAATACTATTCACATTTTGCGATTTACATCTTTTACTCAGAATAGTGAAAGATCCTTAACTATGGGCCGGTGTTCAAATTTATGTAAGGAATGTCAGGTGATTAATTGCTAATTGATATGATTGTATTAATTTTAGGTTTTAACTCATTTACTAGGACTATGTGGTCCAATGGTACCCGGGTTGGATTTTCATTTGGAAGATTATGAGTTCAAGCCTCAGATACTACAATGTAATAGAGCCAGTAACTTTCAAAAAAAAGAAAAAAAAAGGTTTTAACTGATTTAATTAATTGAATACATTAACTTCTATTAATATATTTGACCAAAAAAATTAAAAAATATTCTAATTAAATCCATTACTGAGAAACAAGTGACCAAAAATATTATTTCACGTAGGGATATTTAGCATTTTATTTGATAAATTGACTATTCATTATGAGTAATATTACATTATATTGTAATTGATTCAAAAAAGAGTGTATTGTAATTTTTATATATAAAAAAGGGCTAAATAGGACTTCAATTTTATATGAAAAAGTAATTTAGGCTAATAAAAAATATTAAAAAGTTGTAAATAAACACATCAATGTGCATGTCAACTTGGGCAAAAACTTGTGTGAGACCATCTCAATGAATTCTTGGTTGTCAGATGGGTCGAGTCAAGATGAAAATGTAATACTCATACTAGAAAATGTAATACTATTCAAGAATAAAAATGTTTATTACTTATATAGAAAAATGTAATACTTTTTACATTTTAATTTAAAAGTATTATATTTTTCCTCAAAACTATTATATTTTCTTTATAAGTAACAAATACTTGCCAATTCATTACTTATAAAGGAAAATGTAATACTTTTGATTAAAAATGTAATAATTTTATATTAAAATGTAAAAGTATTGTATTTCCTCAAAATTATTATATTCTCCCTTATAAATAATTAACATGTTATTTCTAATTAATATTACATTTTTTAGTATAAATATTATATTTCATATTGACCTGACATATCTCACAGATAAGAATATGTGAGACATTCTCACATAAGTGTGAGTAACAATATTTATTCAAATAAATTAATTTAAAAACACGTGGAGAAGCACAGATGACTTCTTCGTCCAAATCTAGATAGGGAAATGCCAAAAGAGGCAGTGGTCATCGGAGAAGATGTCGAAAAATCGATGGAGAAAGATTACTATTGGCATTTGGCAACCATTAGATTTAAAAATTTTGTTTTTTAAAATTAAAAATTGACGCCAGTAGCATTCAACAAAAAAAATTAAAAATTGACATGTCATCATATTTTTACATATTTTACTTTAAATTTAACAAATACTTGATTTAATTGTACAATTTGACAAATTATCCCTTTAAATCAACAAGTTAAAATATTTAATTGCAATTTTTTAAAATTTAAAGACATTCACTTTTGTTATATAAAGTTCAAAGGTTTTTTTTTTTTTTTTTACCATATTTTTCAATTTTTATCTTCTAATAAAATTGGTACGTGTGCCAAAAGTTTTACTATTTTTTTTTTTTTGAAAACAATTTTTTTTTTTTTTTTTTTTTTTTTTTACAAGGGAATGGGACACCAAAACTTGAAAACAAAAGTTTTACTAATTAAAAACATACTTATCATTTTAAATTCATTATTAAGTTTTGGTTCCTGAATTAAATATGTAAACTAACATATAAAAGCGTCAGTAATTTATTATTGTTATTTGTTATTGTGTCATTTTAATAACCTTAATTTTTTGAAAAAAGGTTCAAATTGGCCAATGGCCATCAAACTAAACATTAGCCACTTTTTTTTTTTGTTAAACATTCTACGAACCAAGTTGCCAATTTGTATGGAATAGACTGTACGTTCTCTTTCCTTTCTCTTTTCATTGTACTGCAAAATGATTTAAGAAGCTAATGATAGTATTGTTTTCTAAATTAAAAAAAAAAAAAAAAAAAAAAACTAAAAAACTAAAAAACCAAACACGAAAAAATGCAAATCATGCCATTAAATTTTTTAAAAAATGTGCAATTAAATCCCTCGAGTAACCAAATCTGTTCAATTATCCCATTAGCTTGATCCCCTCAACAAGTTACCTTGTCATAGTGGTGCCTATGGCCAATATGTTCAGTTCGATGGTCAATTTGAACGTTTTTATAAAAAAAATATACTCACAATATAAATATGGGCCCAATGCCAACAACCTCGTACTAGATTTGAAATATGGCAAGAGACAGTACCTTCTCTTCGACACCCAAAAAAAAAATAAAATCTAAAAGTGGTGAAAGCCAGGTAAAGACAATTGGATATAGAGAGGCTGAAAGAATGACAAAACTGAATTCATTTAAGTATTTGTAAGAAACATTAATGATCACTTCATCCTTTAGCACAAAACAAAACTGAATTCATTTAAGTCTAATGCTGTGAAGTGGCTAATAACCTCATTCATCACCTGTTTCTTTAGGCTTAATGCAATAGACGCGGGATCCCAAATGGTTTACTTTGAGACCAGCTTTTTCGCAACCATCAAAAAAGAGTGACTCATCTTCTTTGCCAATTCTTCGCCTCCAACTCATTAGAAACGCTGGTTGGGGCAGCGTGGACAAATCTGAGAAATAACACCATGTTAGGGAGCTCAATCTTTTGAACTTATCAGAGTGGATGTACGACACAGTGTACAAAAGTAATAATAGAGCGCATTTACTTTCCAAGTAAAAGGGACTTGAAAACATAAGAAAATGCTACCTTGCTGTTCAAAATCACGAGAATCAGCCTGACTAACTTTTGGTGTGTAAGCTCTCAGGAGAAATGACAGTGTTTTTATCAAATTCGGATACTGTTTAACATCTGCAAGGAGAGTACAAAAGAAGGAATCAAATATCATGCATAAAAATCATGGCACAGAGGCAAAGGGTAAGTCCCTATGAAACTTGTAAATTGGTAAAAGGGGATATGGATTGTGACTTTAGTCAGTTTACATGTATCAAAATTCAAAAGTAAGGCTAAGGAATTCATCACCAAAAAACTTTAAAAGCAATCCACTTTGATTCATGTAGCTTATACACTTCACAAGTAAAGATCATGTCCTTTAATTTGAGGCGTCATAAAATCAGACACTTACACAACAAGATATCACTTGCAATTATGAGGTCCCAGTGTGGGCCAGGAATTGGAAAGGCATCTCCCCATGTATCTGGCAAGTCACCAAAGTAAATTTATAATTTTCTCAAGACAAAAAAGAAATTTTTTTAATATCACATAAAATCAACCTCTTTGTAGCCATCAACCCAACTCACTTGTTGAATGCTCAGATGAAAATAAAGCAGAATTGTGAAGGAACTTAACAATAAAAAGAAAAAAGAACTAACGCCTTATGTGAGGAAGGGCAGGTGAAATTCCATTAGCTTGGCAATTGTGGGCTATATTCTCCTCAATATCTGCGTCATCATAGTCTGATGTCGTGATATCAAACTTAAATGATTTCTGTAGAAAGATGGCCAGTGCACCAGTTCCACTGTGATGAGCACAAAAGAAAGATAAACACTGTTTTAAATAAAGCCCAAAACAGGGGTTTTCACAAAGCTTTCAATGTAATTTAAGTATTCCTTTCACTAGAGGAAAACGGGGTCAGGGGTAAAGATCTGCTAGCATTACCAGAAAGAGATGACAATACAAAGTGCAAAAGTCTTGCAATATCACATTGCAAAGTTGAACAAAACTTTTTGCAACCCCACCCCAACCCTAAAAATATTGAAATATTATGCTGCAGGCATCTTGTAAATTTCTTTCCAAAAAGTACAAAACACTTCCAATTCAGCAAAAGGCATTGGAAAAAGAAAATTTTTGATATCTTGTACCCAAAACAGTGGCAAGGGGTAGTTTGGTTTCTCATATTAGTCAGGGACACGCATATCCCCAATTTGGCTTATTTTACAAATTCGTGTCACCCACAAATAACCCAATCTTGATGGGCATAAAGTCCGAGAGGAGGGGAAGGAGGAGGAGGAGGGGGGAAGGGGGGGAGAGGGGGGGGGGGGGGTGTTGGGGCTGGGCTTGGAATTATAGTTCTATTTGGACATGGACATAAAATTCCCAAAGTATCCTTAAATATAGATTAAACTCTTCTCTAGTTCTCTCATATTTTCCTTTCTCCCTAGGCATGCTGTTTAAAGTTGTAAATAATCTGGGACAAACCAAGCCTAAGATTTTGAGCATGGCTTGTTTATTAATCTTGCCAAACTTGACTTAGCTAGTCTATTAATCAAGCCTAATAATGTGTTTGAGCTAGGCTTGGCTTGGTTATGTCAAATGTTAAGCTTGATTAGCTATATATATTTATAAAGTATTGAAAATTGAAATAAACCAAAATTTTCAAGCAAAAGTAGATAATTAACAAAAATCAAGATTTATACATTCATGATTCATCTAAACCCATAGATTGATAACCATAATAATTTATACTAAGAACTTATACTAATTACATTATATGACTAATACCTTCAAGTCAAAAACATAGTACAAAATCTTCAAAGATCCCATATACATGGAAATACATATATATTACTACAGTACTGAGCCCTTATTTGGATTAGGCCTGTTTATGTATCAAACCAATATTGCAAGCCAAACTTTTCAATTTGGATCAAGTTGAGCCTACAAAGCCTACTAATTTTGCTATCAACTCTATGGCACTGCCCTTCTCTATGAAAGCTTTTCTCTTCTACTCTTTTCATGTCCTCTTATCAAGTTCCTTTCTTCCCATTTTTTTTTGTATTTACATTTTTCCGTTTGCAGTTTTCAATTTTCAATATAATAACTTTTGCGATTTTTGTGAATAGGTTGCATCCATTCTTCAGTCTATAGGACCATGGAAGAATTGTTGTACGAGATGTCCACTTTATTTTAAATAATTATATTTTTGTAGTATTTCTTTGATTTTGAAGCTCCCAAATTACAAGTGAAGGATATCATGGGAAAAAAAAAAAAAGATTAGTCCATGGCTATAACAAACCATAGGAAAGGAGATATCCCGGCATTAGTCCCCCATATCAAACACCAGACTTAACCTTAAGAATTCAAACATAAATCTATGATTTTTAATCCCTTCATTATTTGCTAAACCAATCTCTGCATGGATTTGAACCAAGCAACCCTAAGTTTGCTGTTCAAACTATCAAATGCATTATGTTCTCAACGAGCAGAGCAGATAAGATAGTCTTGCTGTATTACACCATCAAAGATTGAACCACTAGATCAAACATTAAAGAAGACATGGATATCTAGAAAGTGCTGAAAGAAACTCAGAGCTTCCTAATAGGCTCTAGAAACATGAATACCTGCCTAACTCAAGTATCCTCCGCCCTTCCAACCAGGATCTATGTTCAACTAGCCACTCTGCAAATGCAAATGTCCCAGGCCAAAGTAAATTAGCATTCAACTCGTGAAAATCAAATTCTCGGATGAGCAATTCCTGTGCACAAAGCCAACACGTTTACAATTTTACACTCAATATAAGAAACAAAATTAACCATACATTGACTTATCACTCAGGCTTATTAGTTACTTGCATCTATATACGTACGAACCGTATCTTTTCAGCAAGCCAAACAAGTAACCTAAATAAAACTAAACGCATAGCTAAACATCATCATCGGAGTAATAAATCAGCTCTCCCTCTCCAGCTCAATATTTCAATTTCCATTCGAAATGCATCACAATTTTCATTATTTTCTATTTTACAATTGAAAATAATCAAAGTTTTCACTTGACTTACCATTCCAGGAAACTGGTGCCTCCTCTCCACGAAGTTTTGCGGAGCATCTATAATCTCCTCATCTGCAAAAGAGCCGTATAATTATACGTATATCAGAGTGTGTGGTACCATCGAAGAGAGGTAAGTACAGTAGTACCAGTAGAGTTTCCATCGGAGCCGGCGAACAGAGAAGATAGGGAGAAGAGAGCAGTTTCCATTGCAGAGATTTAGGACTTAGGAGTACCCCGACAGATTGGGGGCGGCGAGGGAGATAAACGCTCTAAGTCCAATGTGGCCGAATTGACGGAAATACCCTGATGTCATATTGGGAAAGAAGAATACACTGCAAATTTTCATTACGTCAAAAGTTTATTAATACTCCGTAATAAATAATTTTAACGCTTAAATTTACGAATAAACGGAGTAGTAATTATTAATTGTTTAAGATTCTATAGCATGTTTGTGGCTACCTAAATGCCAACGTATGGCGGCTGACACAGATTCTTTTCGTATAAACGTGAAAAACAAGAAGAGGAACCAGTAATTAAAATTGATTAATAATTAAAATAATTGTTAATACGTATGATAATTATTAAGCCGTAAATTCCTGTTGCTGACATGTCTGTCAGGTTCTGCTCACTACAGATATAAGCGGCGGCTCTTGAAGTGAGCTCATTCTCACTGTTTTCTTGAGGGGAAAATTGCAGAAATGGTAGGGCCGACCCGCCCGCAGTTCGTGCTATTCGGATCCTCCATTGTGCAGTTCAGCTTCGGCCAGGAAGGCTGGGGTGCTCTCCTCGCTGATATCTACTCACGCAAGGTATGATTTTTCTCTCTTGTTTCCGGAATCAATTCTCGGGTTCTTTTCGATGTATTTTTGTTGTCACTTCCTTAATGATCATCGACAATGTCGATTGTCTGATCTTAATCCTTCAAACAAAAGGGCTTTCCTGTGTCGGTGGCCTTGTGTGGTTTAGTGTTGGAACAGTGTAAATAATTGACGGATTTAACAAATGGGAAGCAGGGTTTTTCAAATCAAAATGTACAGTCCATTGGAATCCTATTTTCTGTTTTAAAAAGTTGCTATTTTGTGCCAAGGATCTTGTAGTTCTATGGCAAGAATCATCTAAATGTAAAGATTTTTCTTAAATGAAGATTATGGTTTACTTTATCCAACAATCTGGAAGTAAGCTTTGTCAAATCGGACCAATATGACCAATATATGGTTAGTGGTTTGTTGGGATTTTTGCCTAAAATAGCGTCCTTTTTACTTTATAGGGACAAAGATCACCAGAGAATCTAGCTATGACTACGGGAACACTAGCTCTACTACTTTGTCTTTTATATTGATGTGTGATCTCTACTATTTTAGTCTTTTACAGAAGTGCTCAAATGTTTTAACTATTTAATAAGTTACTTTTCATTGAATGTCATAGGCAGATGTAGTGCTTCGTGGATATAGTGGTTGGAACTCACGCTGTGCTCTTCAAGTTCTGGACCAAGTTTTCCCAAAGGTAATTCATGCCAGTTTGCAAGCTGCAAATACTGATCAACAATTCTAAATCTTCCGTGCTATGTTATCCCCGAAAAGGAGGAAACAAGTTCCTCCGTTTTGTTGAAGTTTAGCTGTTATGATGTTGGTTTCCACGGCTTTGTTTTGAGCGTTACTAATCTTCCGTTTTCCATTTCTAAGCAACTCTCTTACTTGAGGCTTTACTTTACTTTAGAATGCAGGCGTACAGCCTTCTCTGGTGATAGTTTACTTTGGAGGCAATGATTCAATGCTACCTGACCCATCTGGACTGAATGCTCATGTTCCGCTTCCTGAATATGTTGAAAATATGAGGAAGATTGCTATTCATCTGAAGGTTTTATATCAATTTTTGTTCTAATCTTTGGACCTTAAACTTGGTTATTGAGGTCTTTTCATTACACAATTAAGATGGATATTTCATAGTTTGGTCTTTACGTTACACTGAGCATATAGCATATCCTTAATGATGGTTATTATTATTGCCACCAGAGCCTGTCAGATAAAACACGGATAATCTTTCTCAGTTGCCCTCCCATCAATGAAGCACGGGCTCTTGAAGTTTTCGGGTAATGTAAAGCTAAAATCATTTGGTTTTCGTGGCTTTCCTGAACCATAGTTATAAAAATAGTGCTTCCTTATATCTTATTCTTGTGAGCAGTACCTTAGGCAGATCAAATGAGTTGGGCAGAAAATACTCAGAAGCATGCATAGAATTGTGCAAACAGTTGGATGTGAAAGTAATAGATCTATGGACAGCACTTCAGCAGCGGGATGATTGGTTGATTACTTGCTTTACGTGAGTGCTTATGTGTTCTGAGCAAAATATTTATGTTGCTTGCATTGATAGACTAAAGGGCTCTAAGCTTTTAACTGAATTGAATGACCAGAACTCTACTTTTAGAGGCTGTTTGGTACTTTCCCATGCCGGGAAGGACGCAGTGGGAATTTCTTGATGGTAATTTTGGTGAATTCTGCAGGGATGGAATCCATTTAACGTCTGAGGGAAGCAAGATTGTGGTGAAAGAAATTTTGAAGGTGCTAAAAGAGGCTGATTGGGAGCCGAGTCTACATTGGCAGTCGTTAGCCAACGAGTTTTCTGAAACCTCACCCATCATATTTATAGGTCCCAATAAGACCCCTATTAACACTTCTCAACTGACATTTTATTGGCAACCACAGTGGAATTAGATCTTCTCTTTTCATGATGCTTGCTTTCTGCAACTCTATGATAATATGTAAACATTTAACATTGTATTTTGTGACGGTGGTTTTCGCTGCTAAACTTTCATGAATTTACTTATTTGGTTAGATAGCCCCAAAGATTGCATGTTTATGCCACAAAAATTTTAAAAATGAAGTCTTCAAAATTGTATAATGACACTGTTGCTGATAATAGTACTACTATTACAGAGCAGATTGATAAACAATCAGATCAGATCTACGCAATACAAGAAACAAGAAGCAGGTTTTGAGAGTATTGTTTGTTTCAGCAGAATGTATATATGCTACACACGAGGCACTTCCTAAACCAATGCTCCAAAATGCTGATAAATACATGGCCATGTCGATGTACAACACGCAAACAAATATACATATAAAAGGTAGAAAATAATGTCAGAACACAAAAGTAGGCAAGCATTCACTCAGGTGGCAGAAAATCCAAAGTGTTAGCGGATGCTTTGTTTAATGTAGCAACCGAATCCTCAACTTGAGAGCTGGAACCTGCCAGTGGGCTTTTTCCGTCTCCATCCCTGGAAAGGTAACAGAATAGAATAGGCTTAGTAGATTCCAGCAATAAGAATGCAATGCTAAGTAGGGATTAGAGCTTACAAAAAGTGAGTAATACACAAATGTCAGCCCTGCGAGAACGATGAATCCAATTTGAAACACGTTATACCTGCAACGGAACATAGTATCCATATATCACCACAGAATTCTAATACACAACTACTGATGGGGAAAGCAGACACTGACTTGTATAAATATTTAATTCCGCGAAGAGATTGCAATGTGTGACCAAATATTTCTTGAGCTGCAGTAGCTTGAGCATAATATGCAAAGGCAGTCGCACAGAACTGAATGACACTGCAACGAATAAAAAATACCATGATAAATAATTCAGAAGAACAATAACTATGATATCAAAAAGTTCTATCAGACAATACATTCATGAATAGAACATGATCCTCTACAAAATTACAAGAAATAAACAAGACTTAACTCACTAGTATCATGAAATTTCACGTTTCTGTTAAACTTAAACTAATAGATTGATAAAGATTTAACTACTAAATTTGCCAATAAAGTAACAGCAGATACCTAACTTTGAAGCTAACTTGCTAAAGAATAAAATTTGCTGATGTTAAAACATATCAAGCACAGAGCACTTCACAGAAAACCAAAATTCTTATAAGCGTTGGCAATAAAGTGACTACCTTAGATCCACACACACACAAATTAAGCCCACTATAATCCAGAGAAAGCTGAATTTCTCCAGAAACAAGTTAAATTGAAGGGTAACAAAGCCAACCTGATAGAGCAAAGAAGAATGAGGCCCACATTAAAAAGAAACGAGTTCATTAGCGTAGCTCCCCATCTGCAAATATGGTTCAAGTGCAACAACATAGCCAGGAGGCATCAGCGCATTATTAACATAAGGAGGTGAAAAATGGTAAGGGGTGGACGGCAAAAGAAAAGAAAAATATTCAAGACTATTAAATTCATTACTTCATTGGATGGATTGTGACGAAAACTAATTTCAACCCAAGCATCATAGCCCCAGCCATCACTGCAAGAAGAAGGTAGAAGCAGAAAAATGCAAATGCTGCAGTGCCCAAAAGACCTGGAAAAATAATAGAAATTTTTCTATTAGAATCCATGATTACCACATGATAAGCTAATGAAAGATGAGAGATGTAGAATCATGTACCCCAAACATCATCTAACTTGATGAAAACCCAATTTAGGAATGGAGAAAGTGGAGGGTCAATCAACAAATATATCACAATGTGAGCAATCCAAGCAATTGAAACAATCGATCTGTTAAAAAGATCAAGAAAAAATGTGTATCAAAATGTTGTCCTGAAATGGAGCTGTTATGGTTAGGAAGACATGAATTCCACCCCACCAAAATTCATAGACGTAAAGCTGCACAAGATGACAAAATTACTGTTTTTCACAAGTTAAGAGTGAACAAATATTTACATTTTGTGATACATAAACCACACTCAAACATAGCTTAATTAAAGATAAGAAGGAACCTGAATTATATTACACATTAGAAGGACTTCAAGACAACCAACAGAGACCAAATATATTTAACTTGCACCTTAGGTGTACTTCAAACTTAAATACCTCACTGGTGAGACAAATCACACATCAAAACCTAGCCTCAATTCAGTACTTTCTTTCTAATCCCTGATCTATCCTTTTTAATACTCATTACGTCCACATTTTTAGTACTCAGAATGCAAGGTTGTCATATAATTTCAAGTTAAGTCAGGGTTACTCTTGCCACATCTTGACTAAACAACAAACTGATACCAGTCCTTCATGGAAAATGAAGCTCTCTTATATCCCCTGAGTTTACACCTCCAAACATAAAGATCATGGGCACAGACTAGAGCATGGGTCTGAAAATGGATGCACTTCCATAAAGCCTATCTCTACATGGTCATATAACAATTAAAACAATCGCATAACATGTACAATGTGTTGTCACACAAAGTTCATAGATAAAAAGCATCCCACTTCCATACATACAAGTATATAAATAAATGTAAGCATAATTAACATAGGAAGCAATCCAGATTGAATGCTATCAGTAAAATTCCACCAAAGGTTTACAGATAGCAGATTAAAAAGAAAGCATTATCAAGGAAACATAAATCAATTATTTACCCTAAAATGCCCAGCACAAGTTTGGCCAAATATCCGAGAACAGTCAAAGCCCAAGTAGTCTCTGCCTAAATAATTAAGGATATAACATTAGGCTTTCTTCTTTTATACTTAAACCAATTAAACTTTAAAAAGCATAATTACACTGAGCAATATAAATACACTTCAGTCAGTTACCTTTTCACCTTGAGGGTACATCTCTTCTAGAGCTTTTACATCATCTTCCAGAAGAAGCAACTCCTGCAAAAGTAAAGCAACAAAAGCAATTAACTTTTCAAGAAATGGTACAATTGAACCCTAGACGTTATAGAATGTAGTGTTTCAGAAGAAAATATTCAATATGCAAACTCATAACCACAAGTTTAATTAATTCACAATTATTGTCTAAGAAACAGCACATTTTGCCTTCATGCTAAGAAAAGACATGCCTTCTCAACGGCCTTCACATTTTTACGCCACTTTCTTCCTTTTTTCCCATTCCTTTCTTCCTGATGCAGTGCATCAGCTGCTTTCTTCAATTCTCTTGCCTTTTTTGCTAGTTCAGTTGCTTCCTTTATAACATATTAAAAGAAAAACGCTGCATGAGCCGCACATAAAAGAAAAGATTTTTTATTCTAAATTTTTGTTTATGGGAAAGGTAAATGTACCTTAATATACTGTGACCGGGTTATAACTGCCTTTGGACGCCTAATGAATGAAAAGATAAGCCCCAATGGAAGGCAAGCAATGCCAACACCACCAAAAATCTGGAGATGGAATTATAATCAGAATAATGAAGTAATAAAGTGACTTCCATTTTCCCAGTGATAAAACTAGCCACTCCAGTAATCTCATTAAAATGATGCCTTTCACTGTCCCGGTTGAATTATTTATTTTAGCCAGTCCTTGAAATGAAACATCAAAACATCAATGGCAAATTGTTTTGCCTTAACAAGAAATTTCAATAAGCAGATGATTTCAACATTGAAACTTGATAAGAACACTGATATGATAGTTAAGTTTTTCAGTTGTTCCAATGAATTTTATATTGAGCGTAAGCTGGCCTTGGGCCTTGCTTAATTTCCAAGTCAGAATGTTCTAAAAGATGTAAAATCACTTTGCTCAGTTATCAACAATAGGGCAGAGTAGTATTCTATTCCTAAATACAATAAACATGCACATACCATGAAAAGCACTGATCCAACAATTGTAGCCAGAGCAACAACATATTCAGGGAATGTAGCGCGCATTGTCCATGTCTTCTCAGATGAAGGACTTGCAGAATATGCAGAGCACTGGAAATTACAGAATGTATGAATTGTGAATAGATGGAGAATATAAGGAAACAATAAGATCTACTAGGGTCTGGCTAGATGACTACTTTTACCGAACAGGAAGGTCATGATAAAATGACAAATGAATTGAAGTAACAAACAGTTCTCCAACCTGATGAGGACCATTTCCAATACATGGCTCGCTACTAGAGAATGAAAATGTGTTCGTGAAGGCAGTAGTACCAGAGGAAAGGTGTCTCACGGTGAAGTCTACCTTCCCAACAAGCCCTAAAACAGTTAAAGTGAAACACTTGAGTGTAGAATCAAGAGTAATCTATATTACAACAATTTCTATATGCATATATGAGTATCATATATATGGTGATACACGGCAAGCTAATTTCAAGTGTCCTTAGTTCATTCCCTCATTTTACAGTTCTGCTTTCGAAATCAAAGGTAACAACAAATTTGAATAGGGTGAGAGGTTCCCCATTTTGATAAACTTTTCAAATTTCAAATTACTTAATAGACATAGGGATATCAACATTATCATTTATGCCACACCAATCAATCAATATTATAAATACAGATATACCCCCCCAACCCCCGAAATTGGTCTAGTCTAGTTAAACTCCATGCCTAATTCAAATGTGATCCTTTCCTCTTCAAAGATAATAACAGGTTATCCTTAAAGCATAAATTTTATGTGACATTTGCATCCAGAACCAAGGCCACATTATTATCTTCAAAATAGCAAAAGCTTTGAACGAATATATTAACAGAAAGGCTAACCATATAAAATTCCAAGCAAGAGAGCACACACAATTGCCGTGACCGCTACCCAACATAAAGAGCTCTTAATCCTCTTGCCAAGGCTCCTGTGAATAATTTAACAGAGAAAAAAAATGATAAGATCAATCATCGATAAACGTCTCAACCTAGTGAATAAAACAAACCCAGAGAGAATGTTGTTTACGGACTTGTCCTGGTCGCCTTCATAGAAGAACATAGCGAATGGAATAATGAAGAAAACGAGCACAGCGTTAACAATGTAGATGGCGAGCCAGAGTTCCTTCATCGGAAGCGTGAGATTGCAGGCGCCGTTGTAAATCGAGTGGCGGCAGGCCTGCCGATTTGCCACATCCGCCGGCAGCATGAGGATGGAGATGGCGGCGACGGAGAGGCCGAAAACGACGACGAATTTAGGAAAATAGGCCTGGTTGGCATCGTCTGGGTGCTGGTAGTTTACGAGGAGATAGATGTTGATGAGGAAGACGATAACGCACACCACTATGGCGACGATCAACAGCGCGAGATTGAAATCCCCCATTTTCTCCGGCTACGAAGAAATGTGATTTCTCCCTCGATTCGAACCAGTTCCAGATTTGACTTGATCCGAGTCGGGTAGAAATTAGTGTAACGAGTTTATAGGTTGTTGGTCGTGGACAAAAAAAACGGGTCTGGATTTAAAACGGGTCCTCTGCTGCTAATCTGGGTAGGGAAATCTGCAATGGAGGAGAGCCGGTTTGATGCGTTCAGTCGTTTAGAGGGGTTCCTAAAAACTGTTATATTATTATTATTATTATTAAGGATAAAGTTCAAATAAGTCACTGAGCTATTTGAAAAATATCAATTAAGTCACCAAATTCAAATAACCCATTGAATCCAAAAAAAAAATTATGTTGGACATAATGTTGTAAAATGCTTTCTGTGACTTCAAAATTATGATTTTTTCTCCTTCAAAATTCTTTAGACTTCTATTGTTATTTTGTCAACACTTTATATTGAAATTACGAGGTGTGCATTTGTGCAAGTTCGTTGAAATGTTTATATTTAAGTGTTCAAATATTTACATGTAATTCATCGTATCTTGAAAAATTGGCGCTTCAATGCACATAGCACTCTCGAAGGGAACGAATCGATTTTAAAGAAAGTGTGATTTTCACAAATTTTGAATTTTCGTTGATTACTTCGACTATAGTTTTGAAGAATTTTATTTCAAAATTTGTGAGAATTTCCAACAAATTGTAGATATATCATGTAAGACATTTAAAAAAAAAACAAAAAAAAAAAAACAAACAAAAACAAAAACCAAAACAAAAACAAAACAAAAAACAAAAAAAAAACAAAAAAAAAAAAACTGTGACAGTTCTAACAAACTTAACAGAGCTAGCTAATTAAAAGCAAAAAACACAAAAAAACAAAAACAAAAAAAAAAAAACAAAAAAAAAAAGGAATAAGCAAGATGTGTGACTTAAAAAAAATCAATCAATCTTATTATCATTATTATGATTGTTATGTTGCTTTGTTTTGAATAATCCTATGTACTCCTATTTTCTACTTCTTATGATTTGACATGCTTTGATTGCTCAATTTAATAGGGGGTCATGATGTTTATTCATACAATTTTGTCTTCCTCCAATCAAATTTAAATACAAGTAAAATTTGGGAATAAATTTTTGAGCGTTCATTTTTTTTTTTGTCACTTTCTCCATCATGATTAATATATGATGTCATTTTAAACGACGGTACAACTGAACACAATCATCATTAGGGGCATGAAATGGAAATTGGGGTCCGTATAGGCAGCTCAGTTGGTTATAGGGGTAAAGTTTGAAAAAAATGACCAGGATCGAGTCTCGACAGTGTGGGAACAACCTCTCAAAGTGAGGCCTTATACGCAGATGCTATCGAGCTCTTCGCACAAACCTCCAAAGGTCCTCTGTGGTTCAGCTGAATTACCATGATTACATCATCTTAGATGTTCTATCGGGTCAGAATGTGAAGACCCTGGAGTTGAAAATTCAACTTTTTGAAAAAATGAAATGGAAATTGGCAATTAGTATGGTGGAAGTGTGGAACAGCCTGGTAAAGTGTGAGGTCTAACTGGCAATTTCGTTGTTTCCAACGGGATGGGGACTTTGTATGATAAGGGTTCGTTTGGTTGGTGCGGATCCAAAGTTTTTATTTATGTACTTCTTTCATCTCATTTTATATACTAAATCAATTAATGAAATTTAATTGAAATTACTTTTAATTTACTTTTCCATAATATTAAACTTAGTATTAATATATAAAATTTGTATATTTAGAATCTATATTAAAAGTACTATTAAAATTAAAAAAATTTAAAGAATTTTTTTTTTCACTTTAGGTCCTATGACTTTAGTGTTTCAGTCAACTTAGGTTCACAATTTTCATTCCTAACATAAGTAGTGCTTGACTTTGATTTTTTTTTTTTTCACTTTTAGTTCTTCCGGTCATATGAGCAACTACTTTTAATCGGAATCAATAAATTACCTTTTTATATTTAGATTTAAGAGGGGTAATTAAGTCTTTCACCATCACTTAAACAATAAACAAAAAAAAAAAATTAAAGCTATCTAATTATCTTCTTCTTCACGGATCTTCTCCTTCTCTTACTGTGTATTTTTCTTGATTTAAAAATACTGCAAACAACCGCGAAAGAGAGAAAAACGCAAGATAAAGAAGTTATAGTTAAAGGTCAAATGCTTAGGAATCTAACACTATATTTGGAAACATGGATAAGATTGAAAAATTATGTAAATTATGATTTTTTTTTTTTAAAGAAAAACTAGCAATCTAACACTATATTTGACTGGCAGATTTTAAAGCATCCTCATCATTTTTCTCCATTTTTTATGGACCCAACATTCACATTATCATCCATTATCTCACTCAATTACAAAAACTCTTATCCTCATTAATTTTAGTTTTTTTTTTTTTCATTTTTTTTAAACCAACTATTTTACTCCACTATATTTTAATTATTTCTTTATCAATTATCATTCTAAAATTTATTGATAATAATAAATTTGATAATAATATTATTGATAATTATAAATTTAATAATAATATTATTGAAATTAAGAAAATTTAATTTAATTAATAATTATAAATTGAATAATAATATTAAATTAAAACTTATTTTTTTAAAAAAAAAAACAAGAATGTTAATAAAATTAAATTTAAATTTTTCTTTTAAAAAGAAGAATACGGTCATTGCATTTACAACGGCCAACATGTTTTTAAATTTAAAGAACATAAGCCTTCAATTGATAGTGTCCAAGCGGGCGCGTGTGTACTTGGGAGGCCAGTGAGACGTGAGACTTGTGCGTCCCACTGGCCTTTTAAAAAAAAAAAAAAAAAAAGAAATTACAAAAACTTGTATATTGCAGCCTTTGGCCCTTTGCAGAAGTAAAAATTAACAAATTAAAAAACTTCATATCCCATTAATAAAAAACTAATTCTTTGCGCTTGTACTGTTTCAAAAATCATGTAAAATTCATTGGTGGTGATTCTGTTAGTCCACTTGTTATTATTAATTAATCAGTGAACTAGGGAATAGTGTAAGATTTCAATTATGAGGTTATAGACTCAATAACTAGCTATTTGTTATGTAGTCATTTATGTTGTAATTGTTTCCTTTTAGTAATTGGCTCACCTCATCATTTGGTTTCAATTTCATGGAATAATTTATACCTTTTACACAGAATACTCATTTCGAATCTAATTGCTACAATTTAAAAAAAATATAATCACTTTAATAGGTCATGTATAAAACTTTTTAGATACACATTTTAAGAAAGTTTATAATTATTTTTGTATCAAATAACAATATTGTCTGACATAGCAAGACGTAATAAACGATAAAAAAGTAAAACTTTAGTCTATCATCACGATATTAGATACAACATAAATGTTCCTTTTAAACATGATCATTTTATTACTCGAAGAAAACATATACATACTAAAGGCCACCAAAGGTGTCATGATATCAAACAAACCACATCCTAACAAAGAGTATATTGTCTAAGTCTAAGTATATTCAAGACCTAAAGTTTGAAAACAACTCAAAAACACTTGAGTAGAAAAGGCTTCATGCCAAAAATATATTGAGTAGGTGTTGGCCTTGGGGAAAATTACCACCAATCTTCTCCTGGCCATTAGCTTGACAGTTGACCTATAACTCGACAGAGCCATCAATAAACGACAACACAAATTAATTGAGACAATCAGTTGAGCTGGAAGCTAGCTTGGCCATATCCATCCAACATCCCCAATGGTCATTCCGAGGTCAAATTAGTTATGTTCAATAGATTTGGTGCTAAGACAACACCATGACATAATGTAGGTGCAAATACATATGTCTTCCCCTCATTTGTAACTATGTAAATATACATTTATATATTGAGTAGGTATAACGTGGAAACAAAGTCTAAAATTATTGAAGTATCAATGTTAAACCACATCAAACATCAAGGATTAAAAAGATGAAAATATAATCAACTTTAAGTAAGATAATATAATCTCTAAACACCATATATGCATATAAACCATGATGTTTTTCCCAAACCATACAATTAACAAGCCAATATCACCCAACAAGCCTGAAAAAAAGCCCCAAGCCCTTATGCAATGAATGGAATAAAACCACAATTCTATATGAAGAGTAATGCAAGTAAAAATATCTTATTGAGAATTGTCACGTTGAGCAGCTATCTCCAATTTTTTTTTTAAAGGAGCTATCTCCAAATTTAAAACACTAGCTTTTATTATTATTATTATTATTATTATTATTATTATTATTATTATTATTATTATTATTATTTTGTTGAAAAAACTAGCTTTTACAACATAAATGTTTTAAAATGTGTGTGTATATGCAAAGTAAGAATGAAATAATGGTCTAATTTCTAATGCATGGTGAATAATTCTTATCATTCAACCTAAAGACATTTAATTATGAATGATATTTTTGAGATTTCAATTACATATATTCCAAATTCTTATTGTATTATTCATTTATCATATATGTAATACACTACATGTTATCACGTAATAAACATAATCATTTTTTTTCCTCCATTTTGAGACATTCAAATTGCAAAACTCAATCACCATGATAATTTAAAAACACACACATATATATAGCTAAAAAGAAACATAGAGAAGTGATCATAAAAGTAGTGAAGGCATATATATAGGATAGGATTATGAATACAACATTTGGTACATGTTTAATGGGCGCTTTTAATTTATTTGCAGATTCAGAAATTTAAACGGTGGCGCAACTTATACCAGGCTCTCTTGCAGAATCCAATCACCATCCATGACCTAACCTTCAGAGCTCTTACCAGATTTTTGGCCTTGTTCTTCATACCTCTCTTTTCTTTCTGATCTGATGAAGAATCAATTCGCACCCAATCTTCTGGCAATTCCCGCTCTTGATATGAGGAGTTTGAGGAGAGATTGACTGAATATAGATGAGCATTCATTCTGCTTATTCCTCTTTGTGGTGCAGCCCTCTAATTATCCGGCCCATTACCCATAACAATTTCCGGGCGCAAACCTTGATCCCACAATCATCTCATTCTTAAATACACAAAATACGACGTATGTGTTATCATTTCCCACATGAGAACACAATGTCTGTACGTCTTCGATCTGATCTGCTCCAATGATTGAAGCCGTGAGTGAAATAACCGCATGCTTTTCTTTGGTTTCAATTTGTTGGCTCCGCATGATTTGAGAGATTGAAATGATTGTTGATCATAAGTCTCATGGATCGATCTTGAGGGTAATGTTTAAAAGAAGATTAATTAATGTTGAATATATAAAGTTAATATAAAAAATTAAATTAAATATAATATATGGGAAGTCCACTGGTATTCGGTTGGTTCATTATGTGGGAGGTCTGAGTTTCGAGCCTCCTAGTATACTAAATTGTATATAAGTGGGTAACCCCTTCCTTTGTAATTAAAAATAAAGTTAATATAATATATTTCGTGCGTAATATCTGTGATGCCCTATATAGCAACACAAGTATTGTTGGAAAGCCATTCTTTAACTTGCTTTCAAAAATCAAAACTCTTCGGACTCTCACCTTATAAAGAATAGCATTTCAAATGGGTTTTGAAGTCTTATAGAGGGGAAATAAAGGTGGGCTACATGTGTTGTTGGTTTGGTTTAATTTGCGTGCAATAGCTCTCAATTTAGTTTCACTATCTTGATCGATCTACCTTTAGTTTTTATTACTTCCACTTTATTCAAGTGTGTTGTTTGATATTGTGTTTGTATCTAAATATAATCATTTGGTTTGGCTAGATTTCTATGAGGAGCATTAGTATTTCTATGAGGAGCATTCACCGTCGTTCTGCTAATCAAGCGCGGCAACCAAGACGTCACCAAAGAATGGCTCAAGAAAATAAGGGGAATTGACAACGTCGATGAAGAGTTGAACGACTTGATCGCGGCAAGTGAAACCTCCAGGAAAGTCGAGCATCCATGGCGCAACATGTGTACAGAGGAATCTTTTCCAACAATTTACAAGGATTAATGTTATCATGTTCTACGCCCCATGCTATTCAACAACATCGACTTGTTAGATAATGCATTTGAGCTTGAGCAGTGCCATCATTTCTGCGATGTTCATCATTATCGGCTCCATCTTCCTCCCGAAGACACCGAACTCCTTGATTGAGCGCGGCAACCACAACATCGCCAAGGAACAACTCAAGAAGATCAGGGGAATTGCAGTTTAAGAGCAAGAAATAGAGAAGAAACAAAAGACTAAATTGCCCTCATCATTTCACTCATTAAAATTTTTTAGCTACTTTTCGTCTACAATTTGGTCAAAGGGACTGAAATTGAAAAAATTTGAATACTTGTAGAGTCAAATTGACAGTTTTTAAAATCGTGAATCCCAATTAACAATACCCCAATAGTAATGGGATCAAAAGTGAAATTTTCTCAATAATATATTAATATTTAATCACGCACTTTTCATTCATTCATACATATCTTATATTTATATTTATGCACTCGGATTTTATGTTTGAATAATTTTAATAATTTCAATGTATTTTGAGTTTTAAATTTTAATTAATTTTATTTTTTAATTTTTATTCTGCATAATATGAATTATTTATTTCAAATTTTCACATAATAAATTTTTTGAATATTTGTGCAGTGGAATACGAATTATTTTAGTTCAAATTTTGTAAAATTATTTGACAGAATGTGAATATGTATTTTTATTATTTTAAATATTTAAATTAAATTATATATAGATAAAAGAAAATAATTGTAAAAAAGAATTTTTTATTGATAATATTTTTTCAAAAAAATAATGTGAAAGTGCGACGACTTTTGAGATTAGAGAGAGAATTGTATAGACGATACATACGAATTGAATAGTGGTTAATTGTAAATTTAATAATATTACAATTAGGACCATTTCTGAAAATGAGAAAGAAATCAAAGAATTGCTTGGATGAAGATATCTTTAGATAATTATTATTAACCGAGTTTTAGATTACTTTACACCCTTACATGGTAAAATATGATAAGACATTTTCATTATGTGTGTGATGTGTCCTACCAAAATGTTCACATCAACAGTAGAAGTGTAGGAGTAAAAAATTAATTAGGAGTAGAATTTGAGATTACATGTAGCATTTTCCTTCTAAACCATCACCCTTTACTAGATCGTAACAGATATATATACTATACGTACTAAACCCTAATTTAGAGGCATTAAATTGAAGGAAAAATGTCAAACATGTCATTAAACTTATCACTTTTGTACGATTGAGTCACTAAACTTTAAAAATGTGTAATTATATTAAACCATTAAACAAGTAAAATATATGTAATTTGGACATTTTTCTATTTTTTATCGATACAATCCTATCATATTAATTACATCGTATTTATTAAGAACTGCAATTTCTTTAATCATACTAGTAGTGATGACAGATTAAAATATTTTTAACTTAAATTACATTAAAATAAATCATAAAATTGTCCTAAGTGTACATATTTTGCTTATTTGATGGCTCAATTGCCCACTTTTAAAATTGAATGATTTAATTGTACAAAAGTAATAAGTTCTAAATTTAATGATTGATTTTATGTTGGTTTCCATTGTATATAGAAGAAACATGTCTTAATAAGATTGTCACAGCCAAGGCCCACTACTTTATCATGTATTGACTTCAAAATTTCTGAACGTGACTGTCTTCTTTAATTTGGACCCCACCGCCATTAACCATGCATCCTCATGCTTGTTTTGATAGGAATGATAGCATTACTAGCACGACCATTCATCTCAAACTTATTAATCAAAAAGTACATAAATATTTACTATAATGTAATAGAGTCAGTAATTTTTTTTTTTAAAAGTACATAAATATTTATAAAAGGTTTGACAAAACATTAAAAATGACGAATCTATATATAAAAAATTGGATGAATATGTCATTTATCAAACATGACCTATATAATAGTTATCTAGTTGAGATATAGAAATATAGTGTGTTTATTCATTCCAGGAAGAAATAGACAAATTCTCATAAAGTTGTTGTTATTGAATGTCTTTTTAGACACCAAGATTAAACTTTGGTTAATCTTAATCTTAGGAAGATTAATCACCCCCTTAACTAAATAAAACAAAATAAACAATTTAAAGTAACTAAAGGGATAAATGTGAAACAAAAACAATATTTATTTATTTGAAAATAATAATTACGTCATTAAATTTGTTAAAAAAAAAAAATCAAAGTAACAACTAACAACTGAACATGTATGCAAATTAAAAATTACATTCAAATTTTAAGATTGATGTGACATTCAGATTCATTTAAACAAGTATTTCATCCATCCCACATAAACTATCATGTTTACTAACAAATTAAATTCTTTATTTCTTTACTTATTTTCTTTAATATTTCTAAAATAAATTTAAAGGAAAAAGGGTCAAATAAGTAACAAAATTATTTGGAAAAATTCAATTGTATTATTATTATTATTATTATTATTATTATTATTATTATTATTATTTAATTTTTCATGTCAGTTTCAACGGCACAATATGCTTGCTTTTGTGCCAATTGTCTTATTAAACGTTTAATACTTTGCCAAAAATTATAGCTAGAAGTGAATGTGTAACTTTATTATTCTTTTTTTTGAATGAATGTAACTTTATTTTCTTATACTTGTATATCACTCGGTGTAACGTTTCGATAAAAGGATGGTTGACGGGGTCCTTTAAATATCCACCCGAATATATAAACTTTGTGAACTAATACAAAATGAAATATTAAATATAATGAAATTGTAAATATAAATTCCGGATTAAATTAGTGGTGTTATTGGCCAAAGTGGTCTTATTTTTGGTTACGGTATATGCAATTTAATAATATTGGGAATTTGGGACCATTTCAGCTACTGTACTATACATTGTCCGTATTCATAATTCATGCAAGCTTTTCAGCAAAAATATCCAACTTAGTGGTTGCCTTTGTATTGCTTGCGAATTGTGATGTCATTTCTTGCCTCAAACACCACCATATATGAATTCCAAGATTATTGCTTTAGGACCCTTAATCATTGAACTAAGCATATTGAGTAATTTTTATTTTTTCACTTTACTAAAAGCAGCAATCATAGTGTGAACTGTGGAGTATCAAAGCCTCATCTTCATCCCAAATTCCCCAGAATCCCAAAAAAAAAAATGTCGAAGCAAACTTACAGAATCTGCTGTTTCTCGAGAAAGTTCAAGCTGAGAGATGCTGAGCCACCAGATGAGATCAAGGCCCTGTTTGGCAGATTTTCGGAGAATGGAATGATGAGTGCGGAGCATCTGCACAAGTTCCTGAAGGAAGTTCAGGGAGAAGAAAGGGTTTCTAAGGAAGAAGCTGAGACTATAATGGAGGCTGCACTCAAGTCCCTTGAGCATCTCCATGTGTTCCATCGCAGCAAAGGCCTCAATCTCGAATCGTTCTTTCGATTCCTTTTCAGTGAGACAAACTCTCCTCTTCCCCCTGCTAATAAGGTACTGAGGCTCAATCTCGAACCCATGACCTTTGGTCTGATTCTGATACCAAATTAGACTCCATTTCAACTAAAAGCCTGATAGTTAGATTGCACATGGCTCAACACAATCATCATCAGTTGATCCAAATTGTCCATTTACTCTGATATATGTGATGTTAGGATTAAGAAATTTAAGATTGGAGGTTTTCTGATGTTTGTTTCACATTAATGGTCATGTTTTTTTTGGAATCCCAGGTGCATCATGATATGAATGCTCCATTGTCACATTATTTCATATACACTAGCCATAATACCTACCTAACTGGGAACCAGTTAAACAGCGATTGTAGCGACGTGCCAATTATAAAAGCTCTGGAGCGCGGTGTTAGGGTGATTGAGCTCGATATGTGGCCGAATTCCTCCAAGAACAATGTTGATATTCTTCATGGAGGGTAAAATTAAAATTTAAAATGGTTCATCTTGCTCCAATTCTTTTGTTTCTTAAGATTGTCATCAAAGCAGACTGCTTTTTATGATCTTCTGTTATGGGGTTTTCGATTTCCAGGACACTTACAACTCCAGTGGAGCTCATCAAGTGCTTGAAATCAATCCGGGAGCATGCTTTCATATCGTCTGAATATCCGGTTATTATCACTCTAGAAGATCACCTCACCCCAGATCTTCAGGCTAAAGTTGCAGAGGTGAGTGCCTGCTGGCCTTTCTGCTAATTCCTCTTTTAGATTGAGTTTTTAGGCCTGCTTGTTCGATTTCAGATGGTCTCTCAAACGTTTGGGGACGTTCTTTTCGCTCCTGGATCAGAATGTTTGGAAGAATTTCCTTCCCCGGAATCATTGAAGCGAAAAATAATAATTTCAACAAAACCACCTGTAGAATATCAGGAAACTAAGTCTCTGAAAGACAAAGATAACAGTAATTCCCACAGCACAAAAAGTGCTTCTTCAGAGGAAAATGCATGGGGACAGGAAATTTCAGACCTATCACATAAATTCAAAGCCCTATATGAGGTACTTCAGTGTGAGCATATAGCCATTAATGTGAATCCAACTATCAGCTTAGGCTTTTAGTTGAGATGGAGCACATGCTTCAATTTTCAGTATATATATGGATTAATGTATAAAATTTCAGCTCCGTGAAACTAATTTTTCAATTATCTTATCGTCTCAGAATAACAAAGAGGATGCTGCAGATCACGAGTGTGCAGAAGACGACGATTCCCATCATTCAAATCATGGTGTGCAGCCAAATGCTGCACCCGAATACAAGCGTTTGATTGCAATCCAGGGAGGGAAAACTAAGGGTAAAGTCGAGGAGTGGATAAATGCAGATCCTGATAAGGTACGACGTGTTAGCTTAAGCGAAGAAAAGCTTGTAAGTATTGTCATGTCACATGGCAAAGAAATCATCAGGTGAGAGAGACTAAACTTTTGTGTCATTTTGTGAAATGAAGATGAAGATCAAGACTATCTGTTTTCAAATGAACTGATGATAATTGATAATCTCCTTCAAGGTTCACCCAGAGAAATATGCTGAGAGTATATCCAAAGGGTATACGTTTCGATTCCTCAAACTACAACCCCTTAATTGGATGGATCCATGGAGCTCAGATGGTTGCATTTAACATGCAGGTTTATTTTATTCAGTTTCACATTCTTGCTCGAGAAAAAAAAAAAAAGGGGGAAATTTCTCCGATTAGTAAACACGATTTGGTTGCCAGGGATATGGTAGGCCTCTTTGGTTGATGCAAGGAATGTTCAGAGCAAATGGAGGGTGTGGTTATGTGAAAAAACCAGAACTTTTACTAAAACCGAATGATGTCTATGATCCTAAAAACCTCTTACCTGTGAAAACAACATTAAAGGTACATAAAAAGTGAATCTTTTCCCTTCTCATGTTTAGTCCTGCAAATTCTTTGCTACATTTCATATTCGCGATTATCAGGTGAAAGTATACATGGGAGAGGGGTGGCATCTGGATTTTAAACGAACACATTTCGACTTTCATTCTCCCCCAGACTTCTATGTTAAGGTTGACAGTACATTAATTAATTTCCTGCTGCTCTTTTAACTTTGGATTTTAATAAAACGAACAATAAGAACAGATTGGTTTGGTGTATTTCCAGATTGGAATTGCAGGAGTTCCAGCAGATTCAACAATGAAGAAAACAAGGGCAATTGAGGATAACTGGATTCCAACATGGGACGAGGAATTCGAGTTCCCTCTCACTGTTCCTGAACTTGCATTGCTTCGAATCGAAGTTCATGAATATGATATGTCTGAGGTTGATGATTTTGGAGGCCAGACTTGTCTGCCTGTTTCTGAGCTGAGAACCGGCGTTCGCGCTGTAACACTCCATGATCAAAAGGGGCAGAAGTATCCCTCTGTCAAATTACTCATGTCTTTTGATTTTGTCAAATGATGTTTTTTTTTTTTTTGCTTGGTTTCCAATCTTCCTAGTCTGTGTGAAATGAAGTAGCAGTATACTTAAATCTTGTTTGAGTGTGCTTGTAAGTTGTAATAGATTGAATATGGACTATGCCAATAAGCATATATGTACTCTGTATTTAAATAAATAAAATGCCATTTATAACTCATTTGGATATGTTATTCATCACTACAACTTAATCAAACTCTGCTGGCACGATCCAGAAATAGCCATCGGGCTTCTCTAAGTAAGAGTCAAATTCTGGTTATAAAATTTAGATCGAATTCAATACGAAATGTTATACACAAAAAAGTCATTATTGGATCAATCTTTGTTCCCCACAGCTTTAAGTAAAATAAGCAATTGAAGGAAGTAATACGATGCACCTCCGACGGTGGCATACTGCAACTTCTCCGGCCCTTCGACTGCCGGAAAATGGCTATCTTCGGCGGATTTATACCCTCCGGCCAGCCATGCCAGGTTTGCGTATCCACTTCTATGCAACTTTGAAACAGCCATCATAGACCTATATGTATGTAATCAACCAAAATCTAAACCTTAGCTTATACACATGCATGAAATTATAATAACCAATAATGACAAAAAAATTATTAAAGTTCGACCACTTTTTTATTTGAATCTATCAGCTATGACCATCTATATTAATTTACATTCTTGTGAAATTGTGATACTTTATTGATTAGGATTATTGCGCTTTCCTAGTTACCTTAAAAAACATTAAAATTATAATTGTTAATAAAAAAAAAAATCGCACCTCAATCCTTCACCACAAGCTACGAGGATCTTGGAATCCTTGTCGGGAATCTGTGTCTCTACTTGTCTTAAAAACTCGGGGTTGAACATGGTCATATTCTGGCCCGTCCACAGCCCAATATAACCGAAATGCACCCATTTCTTGAGCAGACCCAAGGGGCTATTATCCGGGTCCTTGACGAACAGCGGAATGTGGCGAGAGCCCGAAACTCGGGCCTTGGCTCTTTCCCATTCGGGCCGGATATCCAGCAAGATGTAGCCTTCGGAGTCCACGGCCGTGGCGGCATCTTTGGGCGGTATTGGGCGTACGGTTCCGGACTGTATAAGCTGCTGGGCGTTGCCGGAAGTTGCGTTCACTCTCACGGCTGCCGACCGTTGCGGGGTGGCGCACAGAGATGGTTGCGGTTGCTTGGAATGCTTGAGAGTGGTTGGTTGAAGCTGGTTCAGTAGAACTGCCGCCATTCTTCTCTCTCTAGCAATCCATCTCTGCCCTTATCTTAAAGCCACTTGTTTTTTGGAGTTATGCACATTCTATCCTCCATGATATTGTCTTTTTTGTACTAAATGATATTGTTCAAGATAAAAATATCCCATTATTTTGGATATCTTCCGTAGATAATACTCCTATCATATACAATTATACAGGCGTGTTTGGTAAAATAGTTAGTTTATAGACTAATTTTATCTTATTTAATCACTATTAATTATTTAACTTAGTTTAAAAATCAATATAAGTGTTTGGTTAATCAATTTTTTGTACTCCAAAATGCTAACAGCTAATTTACCAAACATATTTTTACAATCAGCTAATATTATCAACTAGTTATACCTTCTAATTAACCCAATCAACTAACAGCTAACAACTATTTACCAAACAGGGCCATATAATGATGGGCACCATTGATACTAGTGTTAATAATACTTAATCAATGTTGTAAAAATTGACCTAGGCGTCCCTAGGCCGAGACTATTTCAACCTTAGGCAACTTTTAGTTGGCTACTCGACTAGGCGTCGAGTTGGACCCCTAACTATGACTAGTTGGCGCTCAACTCGGTCGAGTGGTACTTTTTGCCTGCTCGGTTGCTCCTCTTCTATATTTCTCTACTCGAATTACTTGACTGTCTAGGAGGCACCTAGGTGCCCGACTAGCACCTTCTATTTGTACTTAATACAATATAAAATAAAAAAATCATGCTTAAGTTGTTTATAGTTGATCGGTAAAGCACAAAAGATCAATGTCGTTACTAAGATATTTGAGAAAGTCACAGTTATATGGCTTGACCATAAAGTGACGGCTTGACCATAAAGTGTTTTGGGAACACATTCTTTGTTATTTGTTACTCCGTATTTGTTTTTGATTTCTTATCTTTCTATTTCATGCACCACACGTATACTGGGATCGAGTGTCTCTCAGATCACCCATTCGAATTATACGGACTTTAAGCAATTCATTCAATTCATTTCTTCTGTGTTAATACTTTCTCTCTATCAGATCACTGCAATCATATCATATTTTCTTTTTGCATTTTTGAGATCTCGTATCGATATATGCAGAAATGGGTCGAACCGTTGAGGAGATCTTCAAGGATTTCAGCGCCCGTCGCTCCGGGATTCTCCGGGCCTTAACCTACGGTAATTCCATTCATGAACATTTTCGTGTAAATATTCCCGAATTTTTGTTTGAATTTCTACTGGTTTCCTTCTTCCAGATGTGGATGAGTTCTACGGTCTGTGCGATCCAGGTACATTTTAATTCGAATTCACCGTTTCTTTACTGCTTTTCAAAATTAAATCATCTTAAATTAGGTTGTAAAGCTAGCTAATCAGGATAGAATTGTTGAATTTAATTTCCAGCTGAAATTTGATGAAGTATATATCGATCATTATTTGTAATTCTGTTATTTGTGTTGCATTGTTATAGAGCTTTGTTTCTGCTAAGCTAATCTAGTAATCTCTGATCTGTGTAGTTTATGGGTAATGGCAGTTTTAGATGCTTTTGTGCATTTGTTATATAATGATGTGTTATAGAGAAGGAGAATTTGTGCTTATACGGACATCAAAATGAAACCTGGGAAGTGAACATTCCGGCAGAGGAAGTTCCACCGGAGCTTCCAGAGCCTGTTCTTGGGATAAACTTTGCCAGAGATGGTATGAACCGCAGAGATTGGCTTTCACTTGTTGCTATCCACAGTGATTGTTGGTTGCTATCTGTGGCATTCTACTTTGGAGCTCATCTCACCCAAAACGACAGGTACTTTGCTTTAATTTATTCCTTCTTCTTCACACCAATACACTATGGATAAACAATCTAAAATAGTTTCAAGGTCACTCAACTAGACTATAATGTTTTAGGAAACTCTTGCGAGTTGAAGCTGGTGGTTGTCATGCATCCATTGCACACACACAAAAAAAATGCGCTATAATAGACATGTACTAAACTACATTAAATCCAATCAATTAATTAGTCTAAGTATGATCTATATGTTTTCTCTTATTTGTTTCAAATGTGGAACTCTCTTAACACTTCTTTTATCACAAATCAAGTTTAGCACTCAACATTTTAGCTTGTTTGACAGGAGGCATCTATTTAGCTTAATAAATGATCTGCCTACCATATTTGAGGCTGTGCTGGAAAAAAATCCGGTGAAAGACAAGTCTAATGCGGATAGTGGAAACAAATCGCGAGGAAGCACAAAGGTAAATATTTCTTCAGTTTCATTTTATGTGTTTGTTGATATTTACATTTCAAATTTTCATAATATTAAATTTAGTATTAATATAATTTATAAATTTAAAAATTACATTATTAAAAAATAAACAAAGAAAAAGAATGAATTTGACTAATGAATAGTAACTAAACATGTAAAATGAGACAGATGAATAATAAAGAATGACAACAAAATTTTGAGATGAAAAAAATTGTATTTTTGATCCTACTCCCTAGATTATGCACCTACTAATAATTGTTTAAGTCCATGATTAGGGTAACCCATCCCGGAAATTCACAGCGGATTTTTTTTTTTTTTTTTTTTTTTAATTTGAAAAACTTTTTTAAAGTTTAAGTGACTTGCAAACTTTCTTATTTTGAAAGCTTGCAAGCAAGTACAAAAGACCATGTTGCCTTTTTTGTATTTTGCATTTTTGTTTATTTATTATATATTATTATTATTTTGTAGTAAACGATCGAGAACAAGACGTGAATTTAGTTGTGCTTTGGTTACTTCCCTCATCTATCATCTTTCAGTACATATAAGACTAATGAGACCACTTTTAAAAGTGAAAAAGTATTGCAGAGATGTACAACTGCGAACTTGCCCTGTATTTGTCCGGGACATCTTCTGATTGTATGGTTACGTATTGTCCCTTTGTATTTTAATTTGCAGAGAACTAGTGAAGGGCAGGCGAAAAATTCGTCGAAACTGGCAGATAAAAGTCGCGAAAAAGAGGAAGAAGAACATGGCGAAACGCTATGTGGGAGCTGTGGAGGAAACTACAATGCCGATGAGTTCTGGATTGGGTGCGACGTGTGCGAGAGATGGTTCCACGGGAAATGTGTGAAGATGACGCCGGCAAAAGCTGAGATTATACAGCAATACAAGTGCCCTTCTTGCTGCTTCAAACGGGGAAGACCCTAGTACTCCCTTACATACTAAACTTTTCACATTGCATGCATCTTACAAGATGAGATTAATTCGACGATATGATGTTCGGTCCAATCTATTCGAGCTGAGACAGGCCATGGATTTCAGTTCCCCTTGAATGAAGTACATATAACATATATATAGACGTCCCCTAATATAGGAAGCTGGGAGTAATATGACAGTGCACATGCAATTTATTATAGGAATTGAAGTTCCCTAATTTATTAGGGAGTAATGTAGAAGTTTTGGTCTGATATTATATTAGTTTCCTGCATGTGAACAATATAATAATAAGCCAACTTCGATCAAGTTTCTTCTTTCAGATATGGAGAGCAGTTGGATGGTGTTTCACTTTATTTGATAAATTAAATGTTCTTCATACCATATGTTATGTTGGTTAGTTGCATTGAGGCCTGAAGGGGTAACTCCAAAAGTGGCAACACAATGGTCCAAACCAAGTTCAAAATCAAAACGGGCTCAGGTGACCTAGTAGCAGTTGACCAAAATATTTTCGATCGTCGGAGCCTCACATGCCGGCATGTGATGAGAGAGTAACAACGAAGGATGGCGGCGCGTAAGGTCGTTGTTGGTGCTCCAATTATCGTAAAGGCTCAGATACCATGTTACGAAAGTAAAGAGATAATACACATCCCTATAAATACATAATAGAAGACTTCAAATAAGGAAACAAGTTTTCATATGACTATCTAATCCCTATAAATCCTAACGGTACCTAATATATATAAGTTCTATATAATACTTGTACATTTCATAACAACTGTAAAAATAAAAGTGTACAATAAACTAATTATATATATATATATATATATATATATATATATATATATATATATATATATATATATTAATAAATTTACAAAAAAAAATTAATTTAAATCCACACTAATTTTATATGATTGACTATTGTATATATGTTCCTAATATTATTTAATTTCTTTCACATTAGGTTAGGATAAATGATGATAGGTTACCTAAGATTATTTTCTTTTCAGATCATGTGAAGTATCAAGATCTTATGGTGAAGGCATCTTGTGGTATGATTGTATCCAATAGAAATTTGTAGGTTTCTTTCTTGGTCTTCATTTCACATTTGGGCATGGAAAAGCATGGTTGCTTCTATGACCAAACTATAGAATTGCGTACGAATAGAGTACTTGTAATTGACTTGGAGCCATGAATTTTGTGAATGTCAAATCACCGGTACAAGGAAATTGGAATGTAGTTGATACAATGATCCAGGACAAAGACTCCAAAAGTCATTAGTAATAATGTACAAAAGTAGTCGAGTTCAAAATTTTATTGGCTTTGTAATTTTGTTTGGATTTTTTAGTTGATTAGTCAGACCGATTTAATTGATTTATCAAAGGAAAGAAGATTAATATTTGATTTACAAAAAAAATCACAATAGTTATTCGAATATGTATTTTAGATGAAATATAATTCATTTTGTAATCTAAGGTGATAAAGGATTAAAAGAATGTAACTTAATCTAGATTGTCTAAATCTGATCACCTTAAACCAATTATTGATTAATATTTTACTAAATATGATCGATCATTATTTAATACGTACATAGTATAGGATCGGACAGGGATTCGGCCCTTGTGTAGTCTGGTTGTTGGTTTAAGGTATATTGCTCGGCTTACAATGTGAGGCCAGAGGTTCCCGAGCTAACTGAAGTTATAATGAAATTGTCAAAAGTCCCCCTCTCCGCATTTATTCTGGTATTTATAGGGAATGTCAGGGAGCAGGTACTGGTCCCTCGGCATGCAGGGCACGTGGAACGCATGCAAAGGCCTGGCCGACGGTCTATAAGGTCCACTATTAATGTGTTTAGCTGATGTTCCAAGTGTCGGAGG